CACTGGAGTATTGTGAGTAGTGCTGGTCAAAAATTTTTACTCAAAACTTTTATGGACAAAAATTGTTTTGATCAGAGTGTAAATTTGCACAGGAAATATCAATTTTCATTCTGTTTATTCAGATTAAAGTTTTCACATATTTGACCCCCAACGTTTTCAGGTTTTGATGTTTGAACAGTGATTTGAAGGTAAAAAGTGCAACATGTGCTCAGCTGTTATCAATGAAAGACTTTGACCAAGAGTTTTCAACAGATTTAGGCACTGCTGTGTAATACCTAACTGATTTAGGATCCTAAATCTCACTTACAAAAGGGATTTGGGCACTTAGGGACCAAAATCCCATTGAAAGTAAATAGGTTTTACATTCCTAAATGATTGAGACCTTTTTGAAAATAAGAAATAGGATCCTAAATCTGTTATGCATTGCAATGCTGAGCACAGCAACACTTAATCCCATTACAAATATGGGTCTAGGATTTTGCAGTAAAAACATTCCAGATGCACTTTGTTCTACATCAGTGATGGAAACATTCATTAACATGTGCATATAAAATGGCATACATTGTATACATTCTTATTGAATAAGTGTAGTGTTTTATTTTTCACAGACGTCATGCTTTTTCGCCTGAATCTGGTGGACGGCCCACAGCCACAAAAGTAATGGTCGTTGTGACAGATGGTGAATCACATGATGGCTCACGTTTGAATGAAGTGATAACTCAATGCAATGAAGACAAAATAACCAGATTCGGCATAGCTGTAAGTCTACTATATATTTGAGAGAGTCTATCTGTCTATTTGTTCAAGAACTCCTCCTAACTGGGAAGAAATTCAGCATACAACTTCCTCTTATTGCAACTTAGAGCAAGGTAGGAATTTGGTTGTGCCAGGAAAATGGGATGTGCCTGGAATTATATGGCTTCTCATAAAACCATACAGAAAAGAGACAGAGTAAACATGCAGGTGAAAGAGGCTGCCTGGGGCCACACACCCCCTCCTGTACAAGACTGCCCCAAGCATCCCACCCAACAGGCACCCTTTAGGGAGGGCAGGTGGGGGGGTTGAAGCCCCCCAGTCCAATTAATACAGGAACATTGCTGCATGTTCCCCTTTTTCAGGGAATGAGGGAAGTACACAGTTTGCTGCATTCCTCAATCTGGCTGCGGAGAGAGGGGGCAGACAAACCTGGATCTCTCCCAGCTGGGGGGCATGCACCTCTTCCCCAGTTGTGTCTGCTGGAGCTGCAGTGGCCATGGAGAAGTTCTTCTGACCTAGTCCCAAGCTACTGAGGTGACAGAGGGCTTGGCTTGTCCTCCTTTTCCTGGACACAATTGCAGATCTAAAGGTAGCCATCCTGCAGCAAAAAAACTTCAGGACCAGACTTCAAAGAGAAACTGCTGAGCTACAGTTCATCTTCAAGTTTGACACAATCAACTCTGGATTAAACACAGACTGTGAATGGCTTGCTAACTACAAAAGCAGCTTCTGCTCTCTTGGAATTCACACCTTCAGATCAGCTACTAGAAGTGGGCCTCATCCTCCTTGATTGGATCCACCTCGTCATCTCCAGCCTGATTCTGGCCTGCATATTTATACTTACCTCTGGAAATTTCCACTACATGCATCTGACGAAGTGGGTCTTTGCCCACGAAAGCTTATGCTCCTACACTTCAGTTAGTCTATAAGGTGCCACAGGACTCCTTGCCGCTTTTGCAGATTCAGACTAACACAGCTACCCCTCTGATACTTGACTCCTTTTCCTGGGACAGCCTGGATACTGAGCCCCTCAACACCAGCCCTACCCCAGAGCAATGATTTAAATGAAGGAAGTACACTTCCATTTTATTTTCCAGAAATAAATATTAATTGATTTAAGGACTCAAGCAACACTGGGAACATCTTCTAGTATAATTAAGTCTTTGCCACTTTGGTAGGACTTATTTAATTAAAATATGTATTGTTCGTGCATCATTATATCACTGAGACTGGAAATGGGAGGGAGTTCATCCTTAGGAGCCACTGTAATATCAGCAGATTTTAGTTTATTACAATTATTGTTGTCAATCATGTATGTTCATATTTATTATCTTAAAAACAATAGACTTAGTCTACTCTCCATCATATTCCTCTTTGTCCCATTGTACACGAAATACAAGATATTTAAATTTGATAAGTTGTGGGGATGTGAAAATGTAACCGTGTACATGGTTAACTGATGAGCCTCATGAACGAGGACTCGTCATTTAATGTTCATTGTTACACACATGGGGAGCCAGCTTAATCCCTTGCACATTACTGTGTAACCACATTTAGCATCCCTAATAAGTTGTTCATTAACATGAATTCAGAAAACAGGGCTTGATTCCCCAGTATCCTACACCTTTTATAATCATTTACCATGTGTGAAAAAATTGGAAAATTCGATATTTCTGCTTTTGTAACTCTACCCACTCATTTTGTGCTCATTCAGCATGGGTGGAAATGACTGTGAGAGGGAGAGGGACAGATGGACTGACTGAACTGTATGGTGAATGGAGTCAACCTGCACGCTATGATTTCTTTTTCTCTCTTTTCAAGGTTTTGGGATACTTAATCAGAAATGAACTCGATACTAAAAATTTAATTAAAGAAATCAAAGGAATTGCTAGTCTTCCAACCACAAAGTATTTTTTTAATGTGTCATCTGAGGCCGCACTTTTGGAGGAAGCAGGAACGCTGGGAGAACGCATTTTTAGCATAGAAGGTAATGTACCTACTGGGGCTGAGGAACTGTTGATAGTTTACACCATTTGAAGAGCTGCTCCCTTTTTGTATTTAGGGATTAGAGTCTGTCTTTGCATAAATACTGATGTGACCTATTCATTATTACAATCTCAAAAACCATTATTACCTTTTTACCAATTAGATTTTCATACTCTGATTGTACGTATTTTGGGTGAATTTTGGGGAGCAAATTATTTATGTAACAAATTGCTCCGGTCATGCTTCAGCTGACTTGAGTGCCAGAAGGAGTGGGCCCAATGTGTGGCAATGATAATGTTCAATAGACTTAATGATAGATGAATAACTTTTGAAATAATAATTATTGCACCAGGTACAGATCAAGGTGATACATTCCAAATGGAAATGTCACAAGTGGGCTTCAGTGCATATTACTCACAAAGAAAGGTATGTATATTGAATTACTTAATATGCAATGCTGGTGTGATCTAAACACTGTATCAAATGAAATATATCATTACATATGCATAAATGCATTTATAAATAAGAATAATAAGCAACAATGTGATATACAGATGTAATTTCATTTATATTATCTTCAAATACAATCCAGGGAAGTGCAGTACAAGTTGTTAATTAAATTACATCATGTTTGGAAGCTGGCTTATTTATATATTCATAAAGAAAGATAGAAAAAGTATACCATAATGGAAACAGAATGATACTTTTTATTATAATAGTTTCCAGGAACAATAATTAATGTTGAACAGTGGCTTCTACTCAAAGCCCTCCTCTTTTTTTTCCAGCTGCCTATAATTTTCTCAGACAGATTTTGAAAATGAGGCTGGATTGTTTTATCATTATTATTTTAAAGTTGGTCAAAATCAGTTAAGCAATTTCTGAGTTCACCAAGCATGAACAATTCTCCTATTATAAGTTGATGTCTTGTGCTTGAATAACTCAAAAAATTGAAACTAAATATTCAAAACTAGCTTGTTAAACATTCATTGAAATGTAAGTAACAATTCCAATATGAAGACGGAGCGATATTTTCAACATTATATTTTGGAATCTTTCACATATGACTTAAGATAAAACAACATATTTAAACTATTAAAATGATACATCGCCCAGATAAAGAATTCCTAGTCTAGATATGTAAAATCCAGCTGCAGTTCAAGCAGTTTTCAAGCTCTGCAAATGACTATATCACAATTAAATGGGGAGGGGTTTTTTGGGCTTACTAGAGAGGGATGGCTCTGCTTTATGGCCGGGGCTGGGGTCACGGAATGAGATTGCCACAGAGAGGGGCATGGCAGCCTATTTGCAGTACTGGCTCATTTCTTCAGGAATGGTATAAGCACTGGGTGGGGGAAAGCCTCTTTGTTACATGCAGCAAGCAAAGCCAGCACCCACCCTTCTTCCCCTAGTAGAGGTGGGCATCAGGTTGGGTTAGGACCTGCTCTGAGCATCATGCTAGTCACTCCTTTATAAGAGGAGCCAAGAAGGATTTTTTTCCCACATCACCAGATTGGCTTTGGTGAAGTGAGGTTGTGGGGCACTTTTGTTTTTGTGGGGGTTTTTTGGCCTCCCTCCTCAGCCAGGGTCAGGGAAGAAAAGATGGTAGGTCACATGTCACAACTTATTTCTTGAGGTTTGCAGATGTTTCAGTGCAGGCATGCCATAGGGAAAGTATCCAGGTATCAGACAAATGGTCTGATAAACAAGGCCATTTTAAAAGAAGATACAGGATAAAGGAGCAGAACAGGGGAGGGAATTGGGATAATTCTCGGATTGGTATGGCAGGGAACCCCCTCTCCCTCCATTCCAATTGCACATTTGAAGCATCTTCTGAGGGTGTTGGATGGAAAGTTGAAGCCACAGGTTGGCTGGGGAACCTGGATGGAAATCAATCAGGTAGCAGCAGAGACCATGTTAAATGTAAACGACCAGAAACATAAAGGGAAAGCAGCATTTTTCCTCTGCAAAGTAAGGTTTCCAAGCTGTATTAAATCAGTGTTCAGTTGTAAACTTTTGAATGGTCAGAGTTACAAACGTTTCAGAGTTACGAACAACCTGCATTCCTGAGGCATTCATAATCTGAGGTTCTACTGTAGTCCAATTGATAGGTGATTTGCAAGTAATTAAATATAAACTATTTATACATAAGCAATCTTAATTGGGTATTAAATTTTACAAGATCTTTAGGAAGAAGAAGTAAATCTGTACTTAGTGGTCTCAGAATGTTGTAAATGTTTTTCTGCCTCCAATGATTGAAGCTATTGTGTACAAAGGAGTCAGAATTGGGTTTGCAGGTGTGTTAGTAATAAGTCATCTTACATATATCTGAAGGTAAAGAGTATCTAAACATAATTAATTTAAACAGATTATATCATATATGTGCTGTAGCATCTGCTTCCCTTGAAGAGTGGATAGCTCTAAAATTCTGATTTTATTTTTTTAAGGATGTTTTGATGTTAGGTGCTGTTGGGGCTTATGACTGGAGTGGGACTGTAGTTCAGGAGACCTCAAACCAAGTGACTACATTCCCTAGTCAAGTGTTTGAAAAAATTCTTCAAGACAGAAACCATAGCTCATATTTAGGTAAGAAATGGGCTGTGACATTTGTGATGTAGCATATCTGAAATTTATCAAGGACAGGCAACTGTGGCAAATTGCCTCCTAGCAGTCTCCTGTTAAGAACTGATTTGAGAGGAAAAAGGAATTCTGTACATTAAACTGATTCACTCAAACTGAATGAAACATGTATTTTTTTAATTAACATTTATCATTTTAATTATTTTTAAAATTCTGAATGTAACCAAGAATCTTAATTTAAATATTAATGACTTAAGTTGAAAATTCTTGGGACATTCATATTACAGTTGTACTGTACTGTCCCTTCTGTTCCCCTATCCCCTCTGTCTTCTCATCTCCAGACTAAATTAACCTAATTTTTTCAGTCTTGCCTCATAAGTCATGTTTTCTAGATCTTCAGTGTATTGGGTTTTTTTGTTCTTCTCTGGACTTTCTCCAATTTGTCTACATCTTTTCTGAAATATGGTGCCGGTTGAGGCCTAATCAGTGTGGTGTAGAGTAAAATAGTATCCAGTTGAGACCTAATCAGTGTGGAGTAGAGTAAAACTCACTCTACTTGGGAAATGCAGAATGAGAGTGTTCACTCAGAGAGCTTGTGTGGAATAGCTATTGAACTTTAAATTGACACCCTAGCTTGTAAACTTAGGGTACGACTAGACTACAGGCTTTTGTTGACATAAGTTTTGTCAACAGATACTGTCGACAAAGCTTCTGTCGACAAAAAGCGTCTAGACTATATCCAGTTCTGTCGACAAAGCAAGCCGGTTTGTTGACATGACAGTGTAGACACAAAGGACAGAACTCTGTTGACAAAAGGCATTATTCCTTGTAGAATGAGGTTTACAGCCATCGACAAAACTGCTGAGTTTTGTCGACGTTATGTTGACAGAACTCAGCGGCAGTGTAGACGCAGGTATAGTTTTGTTGACAAAAGTCCACTTTTGTCGACAAAACCCTGTAGTCTAGACACACCCTTAGTGGCAAATCCATAATTTTGCCTACTTTACTAGATAATATCTCACAACTGTCATGTTGACTTCTTTTCTAGGTTATTCTGTTGCTGTTATCTCAACTCAGAACGCTGTCTATTTTGTTGCTGGTGCACCAAGATCCAACTATACTGGCAGAGTAGTGGTTTATGACATTGATAGCCATGGCAGAGTCACAGTTGTTCAATCTCAAAGAGGGGATCAGGCAAGTACAGTCATTTTGTTCATAGACATAAATTTTGTAGATATCTGTTTTTATTGTTGCGGCACTGAATCTGGTTATTCATGTAATGTATAACTTTTTTAAATTAATTTTTCTTGCAAAGGCATAGTGTCATATCTGTCTTTTTCCTTGTCACTACATGACTGCAGTTAATTTGAGATTTCTGTGACTTTAATGTAATCTCTCAGGCTACGTCTACACTTCACTTTATTCCAAAATAGCTTATTTTGAAATAGCAAGTCTACACTACAGGAAAGCCTCAAAATTAGTCTGAGGCTGGCTTCCCTAATGTAGACATGCTATCTCAATTTAAGAGCCCCAGGAGGAATAACTTAGAATGGCCCTGGTAAGGGGCTATTTCAAAATAACAGAAGTGGAGCGTCTATACATACCTTACTTCAAAATAGCTATTTCGGAATAGGCATTATTCTTCATAGAATGAGGTTTATAGAATAAGCCATCTGTTATTTTGAAATTGCTGTGTAGACTCTATCATAGTTATTTTGGAATAACATTGAATCATAGCAATTCAGTATGGAAGAAAATATTGTCAGGTTATCTATGTAAATACCTCTAGTTGAGGGAGACTACACAGATATCCACTGTTCACGTGAGGTCTTCTGGAGGGCATATGGTACCAGAAGGTTGATTTGCAAGTTCTTGATCATCTGTTTTCACCATTGTGAAAGCCTTGTCAATATGCTGAAAATTTGAATTATTTAATGTTAAGAAGACAGAGAAATATAAAGGTAAATCACAGGTCAGGCTATTTCATGTGCACATTTTCACAGAAAAAAGAAATGCATTGCACAGAACTCTTTTATCCGTATGTAGTCTTATTACCCTATGTTAGAGCCATAACAACAGTATTATGAAGGTGTCAAAATAATGAAGAGAAACAAGGTTAGTGAGGTAAAATCTTTTTTTGGACCAAAATCTGTAAGTACAGAGATAAGCTTTCAGCTGTTCCTCAGACCTGTGTTGTTCAAAAGCTTGCTTTCTCACCAAAAGAATCTGGTCCGATAAAAGATATTGCTTCACCCACCTTGTTTTTCTAATATCCTGGGACTGATAAGGCGATGCCAACTCTGCTTACAAAAAATAATGGAAATTCAGTAAGTGGTTGAATCTTCAAAAAAGTAGGCATGTTATCCAAGTACCTTTTCTTTTGAGTGGTCCCATTTATTTCTGTTGGACTGTTCACATGTACAAGTGTTTGCAGCATCAGGAGCAAAACCAGTCTATTTTACAAAAGACATAAATAAATTGTTCTTGTGTTATCAATTTCAGATTGGCTCCTACTTTGGCAGTGTGGTATGTGCAGTGGATGTTAACAGAGATTCAGTTACAGATGTGCTTCTAGTAGGTGCACCAATGTTCATGAATGACCTAAAGAAAGAAGAGGGAAGAGTTTATGTGTTTTCCATCACAAAGGTAAAAAAAAAAAAAAAAAAAAGCAGGGACAAGGTTGGGCGAAGTAAATGTTCTGGTCACTGAGATCTCCTATCCACATTGGTGACAGATACATGATATTCTGTGTTCTAGCACCACGTTCTTGTTGTCCTTTCCTAAGTCAGAAGTGCTGCTGAAGAGAAGCAGGATCTATTGTTGTCTGATTTGTTACCTAAGTCACATTATATTGTTTCTGCCTTCTAACTGACTGACTAAAATTTTTGAAATAGGATGTTTAACAAACATCTGGCATTTATGAAATGTCTCATGAGTGAATGGTGGACACCTGAATGTTCATAGTAAAGGTATAATATGATTCCATGCAGCATAGAAAACAGAGCAGAGGGTGGGGAGTGTTACTATTCTGTAAGTTCTAGTTAGAACTACTGATATAAAACTAGCGTGGTTTGGTACTTATGGACCATAGTCAGCAGCTCATTCATATAAGCCTTTGAATAGCAATTCAGGATTGCTAGGGAGCCTAAGAAACAAATGCAGTTTCAAGGAAAGAGGAGGTACTGGGATGTGGAACTTGCATATGCTGAGCCAGTGAATGTGGAGAGTACTGTGAGTGACAGAAAAGAATTCAGCTCAAAGATCAAATTCTGCTTCTGTCAGTCACATTTTCTCCAAGGCTGTTAAGCAGGGCAAAGGTGATAGCAATGAGGACTTGATACAACTGCTCACTTGGATAATGAGCAATAAACATCCAAAAATTCCAAATCCAAAACATGGATTTTTCACTTTTAGAAATAGAAACTGATTGGGAAACAATGGTTAATATTTTAGCTTTTCTTAAATGATTAACTTAAATATTATTTAATATTATTTAAAATATTATTTTCAGAATGATGTAAAAGTGATTTAAAAATAATGTGGGCTCAGGTAATTTGCCTGTGTGATATAAATTAATTTCTAGCTATTGTTGATAAACAGTCTGATTAGCATTGCTAGCATATTTGTGTACAGATCAATGAAAATACATGCACACATAAAGATATTTGTTTACAGTGCTTTTTAAGATAGATAGATAGATAGATAGATAGATAATGTAGACAGTTCAACACTTTTTCTTTGGAAAGCAATAGAAAGGTCAGTGTTTCCACAAATGGGTTTTGCATTAGCTAGTAGGAAATTCCATTTCTGTTTCAAGGAGTTATGTCCAGTTACAAGAATTTCCATTATCTGTGCATAAAAATTGGTAATCCAAAGCTGGATACTTTATGTATTTCAAAGCCAGAAGAGAACATATTGTGATTGTTTAGTCTGACACTGTAGCCAAGAAAGCTAATGATATATTAGGGTGCATTAGGAGGAGCATTGCCAGAAGATTTAGAGAAGTGATTATTCCCCTTTAATCAGCATTGCTGAGGCCACACCTGGAGTATTGTGTCCAGTTCTGGCCCCCTCATTGCAGAAATGATGTGGACACATTCAAGTCCAGCAGAGAGCAACTCAAATGATTGATTAGGGGTGTGGAGCATATGACTCACCAGGAGAGGCTGAGGGATTTGGGCTTGTTTAATCTTCAAAAGAGAAGAGTGGGGGGGGGGGGGGGGGGGGTGCTGAGCTCTTCCTGAAGGGAGGTTCCAGAGAGGCTGTTCTCAGTAGTGATAGATGACAGAACGAGGAGCTATGGTCTAAAGTTGCAGTGGGGAGGTCTAGGTTGGCTATTAGGGAAAACTCTTTCACTAGGAGGGTAGTGAAATACTGGAATGGGTTACCTAGAGAGGTGGTGGAATTTCCATCCCTACAGGTTTTTAAGTCCCGGCTTGACAAAGCCCTAGCTGGGATGATATAGTTGGGGTTGGTTCTGCTTTGAGCAGCTGGTTGGACTCAATTATCTCCTGAGGTTTTTCCCAGCCCTGTGATTCTGTGACATTCTAGTATAATACAGGCCATACAATTCCTCCAAAATAATCCCTGGAGTATATTGTTCAGAGTAACTTCCAATCTTGATTTAAAAATTGACAGTGATGGAGAATCCACTGTGCCCCTCAGTAACTTGATCCAATAGTTGTTAATTTCTCTTTCTGTTAAAAATTTAATGGATATTTGAAAAATTGTGGAACAATCAGATGAGGCAACTGAGGATTTTAAATACTCATGAATACATGTATATGTGCAGTTAATACTCTTGTTTGCATATCATGCTTTAATTTTCTTCTGTAATGTTCGCTCTGACTGAAGGACCCCACAAAGCTATGTGAGCAGGTAACATGGCAGATGAAACTTAGTGTTAGCAAGTCCAAGGTAATGCACATTGGCAAAGAAAAATATAGATTTTTTTTTCCCTTTCATCTACTGATACTGTAGTGGTGTTTGTTGTTTTATTTTAAAAGGGAATTTTGGATCAACAAGAATTCTTAGAAGGCCCGCAAGGGTTAGAAGATGCTCGGTTTGGATCTGCTATTGCAAACCTTTCAGATATTGATTTGGATGGTTTTAATGATGTGATAGTAGGTGCACCTTTAGAAAATGAGAACTGTGGAGCAGTTTACATTTACAATGGCAATCTAAGGACAATACGTACCAAATATTCACAGGTAAATAACTTTGGATACATAATACAATATGATGAGATATAAAATTCAGCTAGATTCAAAACAAAAGATTTGTTATAACGAGGGGGTTTGTTAGCTGGTATTTTATTCCCTTTAAATAGTCATATTCTGTAGGCTTTTATTGGCTGTTTTCAGCACCACTGTTTTTTCTTCTACCATATGACAGATCTAAACATTCCCAGGATAACACTCATGCAACTGATAGCTAGGGATACAGACACAGATGGCATGAACATTGGTTGAGAGGAAACCAAGCCAGATCCCACTATAGCTATATTTTTACTGTTGTACACCTAGTTGACTGATTTCCAAAAAAGATTCTAGGAAGCCCATTATTTAGCCTTATAAGATTGGTGCATACCAGAAGATATTGGGTTACCTCCAAATGTGAAAGTTTTAGAAGCATAGTATTTAAGGAGGAGATTTTCAAAGACACAAATGGGAATTAGGCACCCAAATGTCATAGATTAAAATAATAATATCTGGCATGATTTTCTTCTGGTATAAAAAAAGGTTTGTTAGAAGATTTGTTAAATTTCCCAATCCCTGAAAATTGCTTGATGTGAGACGGAAATAAAGCTTTTCAGCAATCTGTCTGCATGGTCAATTTGCTTCCAAGATAATAATAATAATTAATAGTAATAATAATAATAATAATTAAAGGATTTTTTTTACTGTCATTGAAAAAGAAACCCTTTCAAGTAATAGACTATCTACAAGAGAGTTTGTTTAAACAAATATGAGGTGTAATAGTAGAATAACTGTGAAAATCAAATGTTTATGCTGCTGATTGTCAATAATCAAGCTCTCTTTTTCTAGAAAATTTTAGGTTCAGATTCTGCTTTTGGACAGCAACTCCAGTACTTTGGAAGATCATTAGATGGCCAGAGAGACTTAAATGAAGATAATATTACTGATGTATCCGTTGGTGCGGATGGAAATGTGGTTCAGCTCTGGTTAGTCAATTATTTTGGTCAGATAGTGTTTTAATGTTTTGGATACAAATAGTGCATTTGTTTAATAAAATAGCAAAAAAAAAATACCTTAAACTTCCCCCAATATCATATGTATGGCACTAACACAATTGTTTTCTGATGGTTATGCTAATATTTAGTTGAAAAATATTGTTGAACTATACTACTTTCAGTTGCCAGTAAGGAATAGTGGACTCACCTGTTTCAAAGAGCTGTTTTATAAATTAAGCAAATTGAGCAGGGAAATAAAATTGGCATCTACTTCTGACACAATTATTTTTTTCTATCCTGTGGACAATGCCTACCTGTCAAGGCAGTTTATAAATTTCATCTCATAAAAACAAGAATAGTTTCACAAACCACAAATCTTGTGCTTCACAAAGCCATATGTTTACAACAACTAGACATCTGTGGCTGGCCCATTGCAGACAATTTGGCTTTGGGATGTGGGGCTGTGTAAACTTCCATGCTCTGGGGCTCTCCCATCCCACAGTCCATGCTCTAGTCCTAGTCTAGAAGTCCACATAGCAGTGAAATAGTCACAGTCCGGTGGATTCCATGGGTTTTTCCTTTCTGTGTAGACATACTATTGTACAGCACCTTGTAGGGTGCTAAGTTAAAGCACAGCTTGATAAATAGCTTCACCCCTCTGTTGTTAATGTCATCACCAGGCCTGCCTAAGAATATCAGAGATGCTTTACAAAGTATGAGTTTGCACTGGTAACAAAAATGAAAAATATAAACAATTTCCTCTTCTTGCTTGTACAATAAAACCAAATTATCTGGTATTAAAAATTAATGATCATCTGTTACCTTTTATCCACAGTGGAATGCCTGTTGATGTCAGCAAGCATTCCATTTGTAAATTAGAAACCTATTTGACTCTTACATTTGTTTTAGTTTAACCAATAAAAGGTATTAATTTATCTGCTTTATGCTAAAATGTGATCTAACATGACAAAAATAAAACTCATACAGTACATTGTAAAATACAGTCAGGAAAATCAGTTTTTAACAAAGCATCATCTTGGATTTGCCTGGCAATATTTTCTTAGTTCATCAAAACTGTTCTTTGAAATCTTGACCACTTAATATGACAATTTTTTTTTCACAAAAGGTATTTAAGAAGTAACAAAACTGATCTGCTGGCTCATTAAGATCAGTGACTTTTCTAAAATAACAATAGCAGTTTTCCTTAAGGAAAAATACAAGGACTTGATTCTGTATTACTGTATTATGAGAAATTATTTAAAATCTTGAGTATTAGTATTAACTGATCATAAATCTTCCATTGTGGTGTGTCAGTTAATGTGACAACATAATAGAGATTTGAAACAGAGCATTAACTGTACTCATGATGAGAAATTTTACAGTGGAGACCACTATAAAAATATTATAGTCACAGTCAGGCCTATGCAAAAACTAAGTTTCTGATTTACTGAGGTTCCTTGAAATCACATAGACAAACCTTTTTTTGTTTCAGGGCACAAAGCATTGCAAATGTGTCCATAAGAGCTTCATTTATTCCTGAGAAAATCAGTCTCCTGAATAAGAACACAGAGATAACTGTCAAAATATGTTTCATTGCCAAGTTTAGACCTGCTCATAGAATTGACCAAGTGGGTAAGAATATCTCATGTATTGCTTATATGAATTATGTTGAAAGAGTTGCAATTCAGATATACTGGGAAAAATTAAAAACAAATATTGGATTGCAAGCCTATAAAAGAAGAAATCACCATATATTTGTATAGTGGCTGAAAGGTTGCTTCTTTGCTTTCCTTTAAAGCATAGTTATTATCACTGACTTACTGTCTTTGAAAAAACTTAATTAATAGTCCACTCTAGCAGCACCTTAGAGACTAACAAAACATATAGATGGTGTCATGAGCTTTCATGGGCACAATCCACTTCTTTAGATGAATAGAGTTATTAAAGGTCCAGTTTCTAAATATATACGGGATGGGGAAGAGAAGGGAAAAAAAATTAAAAAGAGGGATGGGGGGAGAAATAGTCAGTGTCCATGCTACATGAAGCTGATAGAGAAGGTACTAATTGTTATTAAGTACTCATTGTTTGATCTTTTTAGGTCATTAGGATGTATAAAAATGACTAAAAAAACCAAGCAATGGGTACTTAAGAACAATTAATATCTTTTCTATCAGCTTAATGTAGCATGGACACTCTATTTTTCCCTTTTTTATTTTTTTTCCTTCTTTTTCCTTCTCTCGCCCCTCCTCCTCTATTTATTTAGCAACTGGACCTTTAAAACGCCATTCATCTGAATTGGGTTGTGCCCACAAAAGCTCATACCACCATCTACATATTTGGTTAGTCTCTTAAGCTATGTCAAGACTGTCACTTTTTATCAGAAAAAGGTACGCAAATTGCGCTCCACAATTTGCGTACCTTTTTCCGATAGTTTTGTCGGAAGAGGCTTTTTCGAAATTGGGCCTGTCTACACCGGGCCAAATTTCAGAAAAACCTCCTCTTTCGGATGAGCCCTTCTTCCTCGTGGCACAAAGAAGACAGGGCTTCCGAAAGAGCGTATCTGCTCTTCCGCAAAAAATGTCTGCAGAGCAAACGTGTTCCCTGGACTTAGTGGAATTTTTCTGAGATACCTCCAGTATCCCAGAAAAACTCCATAGTCCAGACATAGCCCAAGGTGCTGCTAGACTTTTAGTTGTTTTTTAAGGTTTTCCAGTTACAGACTACTCAGCTATCCTTCTGATATGTTTGAATAGTGAGAGATAAGTTATACTGAAAAGAGAGTACAAACTTCTCACCTCTCCTTTTATCACCATG